GTATGGCGCGTTGATGAGCGCGGCATGCAGTCGTATTTTGGCTGTGTTCCATTTATACTGCAGCTGCAGTGTGCTTAAATTGCATAAATACTTCTAGCGAGTGGTGCGAGCCTTGCTCATTTTGTCACGTTAACACGTTGATTCAAACATTATTCGTGTTTCACAATAAACGTGTTGTACTTTCGAAAAAAATTGTCATATTACACCCCTACCCCCCAATAACAGCAATCTCTGCACAACGGGCACTTTCGTCTGGCCCAGGCCCCAAGGTGGCCGTTGTGGAGAGGTTCGACTGTGTAGAAATAAATTAAATGAGAAAGGGACAAATTGGATAAGGTATCAGTTTTGAAGGTATAGTGAATTCAAACCTGTATTAAGCGGGCACCCTCGGGGAGTGCTTTAGTGTCCGCCAAATACAGGTTTCCAAAGATAACGTCATATGAGGTGTCAAATACCATTCAAATGAACGGTGGAAACGAATGGAACACTCCAATGCAAATACTACGACGATATACGTTTGCATTAATTTCTTTCTTTAAGGGGACCAATTTATCATAGTACCATAAACATAAGATTGTACCACAAATTCACCCTTTGAAGGTCTTGAAGAAATCAGATGAGTGAAAGAAGTTCTACACAAATTAAACAAAACGAAATTAAATGAGAAAGACAGAAAACAATACTGCATACCGTGAGACTGAGCAAATGAGCAAAACAAGCTGTATATTTGTACAAACAATCATAAAATTGAATATAAACTGTGTCCTTTTCTATGCTGTTTATTTCACTGTTGCAATGAACATAAGTCATAAGTCAAAGTCATCAATTTCATGATTGTTCGAGCATCTTAACCCTTAAACTTCATTTTCTGGAGCATGTTGGCTGCCTTGCTTTAAGTGGCCAGCATAAGGTTCTCTTGCCCATAATATCTGGCAATATTAGGTGGTGGAGTTTAATTACAGGTGTTCCTTTTAATACAGGCTGGCAACACTAGAAATGACCGTCCATTTCAGGTACTTTTTAGGTGTCCGTTTCTGCTTAATAAAGATTTCATTTAAAGTAAATTAGGGAAATAAATTTGGGGACCTCGGCTACTGTCCGCTTAATGCAGGTTTCACTGTATACGTGAGTAAAACACACCGCCGGCGCTATGGTAATCTAACTCTCCTGTATGTAATTCAAAGAACGATGCTTCAAAGTGATGCATTAATTAAAGTCACTTTTCCACCGGACCTTTCTGTTACCATTAGAATTCCAAAAAATAATTGTCATTATATTCTAATTCGCTACCCCGCTCAAACGAATATAAAACATTTATCATGTAACAAGCAACCTCAATTGGGGTGTGTCAACACGAGCCGTGTGCGACCCTCTTTATTATGCCTTCATCAACAGAATGGATGGAAATAATACAACAAACAGAATGAAAACTCGGAAATGTAAAAAATTACAGCAAGAAAAACAACCCAACAAAATGATCTAAACTATGCTCGTATAACAATCATTCAGTAAACATAGTGATACAAAACGTGCTAAACCTTTCATATAGCAGCATGCAAAAAACTACGTCTAAGAGAAACCCCTGATCACTGGGTATTTAATTTTGAGGGCGTAGGGACGGTCGTAAGACGCGAATGAATATAAATGAGAACAACTCAAATATATATAGCCTACCGCTAATGAAGCAACAGAACAGCATACCATGTAACACCCCAAAGAAAAGGTTACATAACCCATGATAAATACATTGCTCATTAGTAACCAAGGCAGTTATTTGCATTCGCTGTGGTCGTGCAAAAGGGGTTCAAAATTTAGTCATCGTGGCTTCCCTACTGACTTACAAAATATAAGGTAAGATTTCTTTTAAGTTTGTCTTATATGATATCCTCTACTTGTCTGAATAGAAATTTTGTAATTTTTCATGACCAAGCCAAAAAACTGTAGGCCATAAGCTACTGGCTGTTTCACAACGTAAGACATCATGTTATCTGAATGCTTTTGATATAGAGGTTAAACATGTACGTTCACTTGATACATCGCAGGAAGATGGATGGTTTTCTAGTTTATCGAAGATTATTTTAATATAATAAACAGAGAAATTTATTAGCATTCGCCTTACTTCACAAAAGGAGACAGTTTCACGATTCTGGGGTACAAAGTGTCAATGGCCCGATTTTTCTTGGCATACTCAAATTGAACAAATTGGAAGTTCTAGCTTTATTTTCCCTTTGCTGGTTTTAGAACACGGTCATGAAGGTTTCTACATCAATTCACAACAGAGGATGATACGACAGAGATGAAACTTAGGGCGCTGGCAGGGATATTGGAGTTATATTTGAGTTTAACAAAAGCAGTGTTTGCTCATTAGAAATCGATCGACGCACGTTCAACGAAAGGTACACGTAGCGACAGGCCATGAGTGGATGGAATAAACAAAGCCTGTGTTACAAAATCACAACTAAAACAGTGAGAGAACCCTGAAAATCATTTGACTGTTTTGCCATCCACAATATATTGTAATTAAATGCAATGTAGAATTTCCTTTACAATGGTTTGACTGAATTGGTATATTAATTGAAAGGCAAAATAATTTTGAAACGGGAACTGAAATGAACGACTCGGTTAAAAAGGCGTGTCATTTGGGCACCCGACATGTTTTAAGCCGAAAATCGTATGTCTGAGGGCGTGGAGAAAAAAAAACGACATCGTGGAAATTCATTATTGGACCGATAGCCATTGTCGCATTTTATGCTTACATCTGAGCTTACTGTTAATGTAGAATGTAAAGAAGATAAATATTTTACTCCTGATCCTGGACATTACCATATATACTTTACCAAACAGCAAAAACGCTTTTTACATCATTGACACAATTTAGAAGAAATTGTTTATTGCCAGCCAGGTTGCCTCGGCGGTAAATTCATAATGCGACGCAATGTTTTGAAAAATTCCTCAAATTCTGCGTAACCCTCTTTTTTTTTACCATATTTAATTTGATGTAAGTAAGACCTTATATTTGGGCAATGACGGCATGGTTTTGTATTTACAAGTCGTGGATCCAGTGTGTAGCCAATTGGACCATAGTTAATTGAGTGGAATGGTTATGAAACCCGTCAGACTCCTTTGTTATATGTTTTTGTGGACCTGAAAGTGCACAACGTTCAAAAGAATTCCTATCATTTTGATTGTATTGACCAATAAAAACGTTGCATTAATTTATTCCGTAACAATTTGCCAACAGAAAACAAAGGATTGTGCACTTTCACGGTGTTTTGAACATAAACTGCAGCACTGTTGTTTTTATCATTGATGTTTGCCGCTTTTCATAACCAGTCTCCTCTAATAACTATGATTGGACAGTACAAAACTAGTGCAGACCACAGACCGTTGTTTTCAGGGTTGGGGGTCCTTATTTGCATTGTGAAAACGATGGTCTTCAGCAGTCTGCAGTCTGCATTTTGTACTGACCCAAAGACCTTTTACTGACCCTGTAACTAATCGTCTAATCGTCGTCTGTTCCAGAGGACCTAACAGGTGAGCAAACTTTGATATGATTTCTTGTTTGAAAGGGCCATTAGTGCTCTATTTTGCTTTATAAATTTCGTTTAAAGCAGAAGCTGATCAAGGAATGGGGTTGTACGCTCAAATTTTTGTTCTCTTTTCCTTTGTGAATTGAATTTTAAGCGGTAGCTGATCAAAGAATAGAAAATGGTTATCACTCCCTGACTCAAAGTTTTATCGGAACCAGCGTGCCCTTCGCAGTCGATTTACATTGAGCCAGTCCTCACCGGCCGTGAGGAATACAGCGCGTTTGCAGACCTTTTGTTTTAGACTGACCATCTTTATGCCTTTCAAGAGATTTTTGTCAGCCAGCGTGTTCTTTGCAGCTCGATTTACATTGAAACAGCCCTAAACTACCGTAAGGACTGCAACGAATTTGCGATTTTGCCAGCGATCCGCGAAAATAAGTTCCCTCACTGAAATAGAAATTACCGCAAACATTTTTCCCGAAAAAAGTTACTCCAGAGTATTCTCTAAATCGTGTCTGTTCAATCACAACTTGTCTCTTTCATTCAGAAACAAACGAAATACTGGTTTATTGTTTGAAAATATGTTAACAGTATTTCTATTGCATTCACGTACTCAATAAAAACGAAAACATTCTCAATGCTTGGTACTGGGTACTGTCTGAAAAATCGCAAAAATTAATTCCCAGCAAGATAAACCAATCTGTCCTAATTGTAAAAATTAGTTCCCGCAAAACACAAAAAATCGCCAATCCACAAAGATAAACTCCCGCATTTCTTTGTTATCCATATGACGATCCTTTACAAGAATGGATGTGTTTTTTACACGGTTGAACCGCTGAGAAGAGCTCGAAGGAAACTTGCCAATACTACTCTAGATATGGAGCAGCCTAGACAACGAGGAGGGTCTCAGACGTTATAATTTTCAGCATGGGTTTGATCACTCGGTTATAATACTCTTTGTAGAAAAGTAGCATACAACAGCATGTTTATGCGTATTACATTGATTAAGAAGAAGGAATGCAAACGGCAACGATGGCGAAATTTACTAGACCATTCAACAAGAATTGGATGGGTTATTAGGCTGCATGAGGGGTTAGCCAAGCAAAATTCGGACCTACATCTAGAGCAGTATTAGTGAGTTTCCTTCGAGCTCCTCCCAGTAGTTCAAGCGCTTAAAAGACATCCATCGCGACAGATTGCCACATGAAGGGATAACCAATTGAAAGAATATGGCGGGAGTTTGCGAACAATGCAAGGCGAATAACATGTCATTGGTTTAGTAATGATGGGTTTATGCTTTATATATTAACAAAGGCCTGCATTACGTAATCGGAGAATTTTGTTTTGTGTTTCGCAAATATTGTTTTGTGCTTTGGGAAAAATGTGTTGTGTTTTGCAAATATTGTGTTGTATTTTGGTAAACAGCGTTAGTTGTTGTGTTTGGAAAAGTGTTTGTTGTGTTCCAGGAATATATTTTTGTGTTTCAAGAACTGTTTGTTGTGTTTGCAGATATGGGCCACCGTATAAAGGCCTTACTCGAACAACATTTTAATTTCTAACGTTTATAGTTTTGATACAATGGAATTTTCCGTGAAGCATAAGTCACTGATAAGTGCTAACTTGCTCCAATTTAACAACAAAGCTTCAAGCCATGCTGTTTAAGCAATAGAAAACGTTTTCCGTGTTTGCATAGCCTGATATAAACACGAGAGGGGTTGCGAGAATTCGAGACAGTTATGCAAACCCGAGACGAAGTCGAGGGTTTGCATAACTGTCAAGAATTCTCCCAACGCCTCGAGTGTTTATATCTATGCAAACACAGGAAATAAGTTTTCTATTGCTTTTATAAAATAAATTTCCCGACGAAAAACGCAAAACTCTTTGCATGGCAGTGATTAAAAGAGAAATTCTTACCACTCGAAAAGTCTTGTCCACGAAGTCTCGAACGCGTAATCAGTTCTTGTTTTGCAAAAAGATGCTTTCCAAAATACGGACTTTTCTGGCTTAAAATGTCAGCTTAAGCGAAAAAAAATTGACACACTTTCTTTGTAACGATTTTCCAAGTTTCAGCCGACGAAGGAATGGGTAAATAAAGTGGACTTGTCGAGTTTTGAACTTGAAAACTTTTTCAAATTTGTGCTTGCGTGATTAGCGCGCGAAAAGCAAAACATATTGACGCCACAACCATGTTTACATACTCTCATGCTAACACGCCTCTCAGCCAATCAGAGCGCGCGTACTATCTTAGTTATTTTATAATATTGTTTATTAAAGGTGGAAGCCTAGAATGTGCCCAAGTAGTTGTTTCAAACTGGGGTGAAATTTAATAGCTATCTTTTTGTACAGCGAAATCTGCTTTAAACCTCTAACATTGTGTAACAGATCGCGAAGAATCAACAAGCACATCCCACAAAAAAGAAACAAATTCGCATCGTTGGCACTTGACGGAAGGTACCCCTAGTTTAAATTAGGGACGACTGTTCGATGAAACGGTCTTGTTTTGCATTTCATTTAAACTCGTGCCTAAATATCTTGTCATTTTTTTTATTTTTATTTTCAACAGTAATTCTTATAAATCGGTCGTTTTTGTCTCATTCGTTTCAGTTCGCAGCCGAATCGTCGGAGGAACGAATTTGTACCTGAGTTACTTGGCTTGTTTACTTTTAGAATGTTTTTTTTTTTTTTCACAAGCTCCTCAACTCGTTATTCTAAGACTAGACTAGCTCCACGGTTATGTCCCTGTGCACAGAAGTATAGTATAAACCAGTAAATAGTTATCGTTTGGTTATTCAAGTTAGGGAGGTCTCTTCATCGATGGTTAGTGCGCGGTCTTTCTGGTTTCGATTTCTCTCTTTCTGTGTTGTTTTAACTAGTTTTTAATACCCGTAAAACGAAACAAGGGGGTGAAATGAACGCACCGTCGACCTCAAGTTTATCAGTTGAATCACTGTAACGATTTGTCCAAGTAAACTGGTCTCTTTACCTTTTCTTTGTAATGCTGGGTTGGAGTTAAGTGCCGTGATTTTGAAACTTTTTTCGCAATAGCCTTCAAACAGTAACGCAGCTATTAAACTATCAATATTATGCGGGAGCTCAGCATTTAAGTATGTTTAGTGTTCTTTTTAAATTACTGACCCATTACGAAAGGGTCGGATAGAAAGACCAATTCACTATTGTTTCGTAGCCTGAGCTAAAACGTCTAAAAGGCGTTCGCATAAAATGCGACAAAAATATGATTGTTCAATTTGTATAACACAAAGTCGAACAAAACATAGGGGCGGAATTCTATTGAAACTAGTCTCATGACTAATATTCTAAGGAAATTTTTGTTAAACTTAAGTTACGAGCTTAGCGTCGAGGTTATGGTTATGTGGGGCATGAAATACATAATGGTTTACAGCGGCGTTGCTCCTTCTGAGAACTATGTTTCCGTTAATTACAAAATACAGAAAAGGGATGGAAGTAACAACAGTGTTCAATGAAAATAAATGAAAATAAATCTAAGCTACGGTAAAACGTGTAACAAAATATACGTAAATCGATATTGAAGGATCTCATATTTTTCAAAAATATTCCACCGTTGAGGGGGTGGGTAAGGGGGGGGGGGAGTTGGGGGGGTTGGGGGAAGCTGATTCAAGCAAACAGAACAACAGGTGGAAAACAGGTCAAAAGACCATCACACAATTAAAAGATATTTCAAATTATGAATTACTGAAAGAATAATTAATGATCCGTCTGAAGGAAATAATACTAAATTGTGTCAGTAAACAACAGGGAGCCAGAATAATCTGAAGGTAATTGTCACATGTTTTCTTTTACCTTTATTTCTTGACTTATCTGACAAAAAACTGTCACCAAATTCTTCTCTCTAGAATACAGAGCGGTGTATTAGTGATTTTACAAAAGGATATGAAGTTAAACTGATTATGAGGAAAGATTGCAGGAGGCGGTGTGAGAATTAGCCTGCGTAGTAAGCGTTTCTGATCGAGTCATTGAGCGAAAGTTGGACTTTCTTGACGTGCTCGCGCGGAAACGCTTGCTACGTAGGCTATGTGAGAATTTTAGATTGATCGCCGTTCGTTGTTAGTAAATACTATTGCAATCGAGCCCAAGATATATTTTAAAAAATCGAGTTAAGTTTAAAATTTGGGTCTTTTTTTTTCAAGGTTTTATCCTCACCTGTAAAACCAAGGAAGCTACGATTGAAAATACATGTGCGTTCGCATGCAAAAGTTTCTCCCGCCTTTGTGGTGGCTCAATTTCGCTCTTCAAAATATGTTGCTCTGAAAGTTGGTAGTACAGCTAATTTCTGTTTAATGCGTGATGATAACGAATACTCAAAACCTTTTTTTTGCAGAGACATTCATCGGCCAATTCCCTAAGGAAATGAATAAAACTGGATTAGCATTTTCCGGTGGCGGCGTTCGGTCAGCGGCACTGAGTTCTGGCGTTCTACGCAGACTGCTACATAAGAATATCACCCCAGATTACCTCAGCTGTGTCTCAGGAGGAGGTTACACAGGCACCGCCTACCTGGACTGGAAGTATCGCAATGAACAGAAAGATGATCCTGGATGGCATAAAGAGTTCTTTGATAACATGCGGAGGAATATTGGCCTTTTCTGCAACTGGCGCAATCCTTTAAAAGGAATTTTTGATACATTTATTCTCCTTACTGTTATTCTATTTGTTTCTGTAGTACTATCTTGCGTTAACTGGTCAGGGTTGGCTTTTCCAACAGCTTATATCATCGATTACTTTTTTGGTGATATTATGCGAAAACCATTTACTTGTCCTGATGAGAAGACGAAAAACTTTTCCTCATCGGAGATTGCCAATAACAGCAACGTCGCTGCTCTTTCCAACATGACCAATCAAGTAGAATGTGTCCCCACATTTGGTCCTGATGTATACGTCACTTTCATCACATTCGCTATTCTTTTTCTTTTATTTCTCCTCTTCTATGTAGTGAACAAAGTAGCTGGGCTATTGCTAAAACCGTTCGCCAACGTTCTTTATAATCTGTTAGGGTTTACTTTTGCAATGGTGTTTCTCCCATGGTTTATTGAGGAATATATAGTAGTGACACCTCTGTGGCTTAATGCTTTGATCATCGTTCTCAGTATTCTCCTGTGGATGGGCATAGCTCCTCTAAGAGACAAAGCATCAATGGCTTTGATTGTCTATCTCTATGCTTATGCTGTTAAGTGGAGGGTTTATAAAACAGAAGTTCTTTCCATTGAGTACAGCGAACAGAGGTTCACTTTGCTGATGTGGATTTCAGCAATATTAATATGGCTGAATCCTTTTGTTGTAATGCTACAGATGAATGCTATACACACATACAACAGGTAATCACTGATAAGTCTAACTGGAAGAGTTATATAATACTGATGTTGGTATAGATGGTTTTCACAGTGACGTCATCTAATTGTAAAGTCAAAATAGCGAGGTTTTACGAATTGTTATTTACACTAGGTTGAAGATAAACAAAAAGTAAATCTTTGTACAAGTTTCCATTCCCGTAGCCTGTTTCATTTCGAAAATACAGCAATTTGAACTTCCGAATTTTCACAGTGCGTGACATCAAAATAGGAATGCTGTCTCGTTGAAAAAAGAGCCTCTCCTCTTGATTTTCAGCAGTATAACGATTTTAAGTATGAGAAGACATGTTTATACGCACGTACGGCTAGTTTTTGAGTGAAAAGAAAGAGCTTTTAAAGAAAAAGTAAATTCCAGATGTTTTTGTTGATTTCCGGCGGCCATATTGGTGGACCAAAGCGGTCCACCAATATGGCGTCTCCATACAAAGCTCTACAAAGTTGCGTGAAACGTTTCGGCAAATACCTCACAAACTGTGGGCCACAAAGACCCGAGACTTGGACAAATTGTTTATATATTAGTCTTTTATAACATTTCATCTTCTTGGCTTCCTCCACAGGATGGTTTCCAATTTATTTTTTCGTTGCGTGACAGTGAAAACGATCTATAGGTAATAACATGATTTGTAGTGATATTTGGCTTAAATACCGCGAGTGATATTTCAAAATTGTTGTACGTAATTTCACGAGCCGTTAGGCGAGTGAAATTTGAGACAATTTTGAAATATCACGGGTGGTATTTACGCCAAATATCACGTACAAATTATGCTATTATTTGTTTATAGTACTACCCGCAAAAGTTTTGTGATTATCACATGTAGGTATTTTAAATTAAGATGAAATACCGCTGCTCTAAGCCAATCAAATTGCAGAAATTTCTCACGTAGTAGTATAATACAAGAATTTTTTCTTTTAACATGCAAACCTGCATCGTCGTGGGTAATATTGCAAAATTTTCATCGAGTGCGTGGAACCTCAGTGAAGGTGTTCCGCCAAGAAATCACTTAAGACGCAGTTAGGACTGTATATTTTTTAGTTGTAATTTGGTTGCAGTCTATGTTCTCATCCGGAGACATAAAATTGCAAGTTATTGAATAAGAGCTCGTGTCTCTTTACCTCACAAAACCAAATAAGGTATAAACTAAACATACATCAACTGAAACATGAGACGAAACTATTGCAACCGGGTCTACTTTCGTAGTATGCGACTTGCTATTGTTAAATTGTTGTTGTTGCTGTTTTTTCGGAGTGGGGTGGGGTGGTTGCTGTTTTTTTGGGAATGGGGTGGGGTGGTGGGGGAGAGGCACTCTTTTGCTTTAAATTGAAGAATGACTTGCTAAACAAAAACACAGAACTGATTAAGGAAGCTACCCTACAAGGTGTAAGTAGTATGATTGTAGGGATGAAATTAACCTTTTCAAGTGAAATACCATTCGTTAATTGAGGTGAAACACATTAACGCCGATGACAATCAGGTTGAAAGCAGTTACGTTAAGGCAAGGTGAGTTTATCTTTTTAATTGTGTTAGAAATACAAAAAAAAATTAAATAAAATAAAGACAATCTACCGCAATTTATTCATGAGATAAAGACAAAAGGGCATGATATCATCAGTGTCATTGCATCCCACTTCTTACTGAGAGATTCCACTTCAAAAGAAAAATTAATTTATCCCTACTATTAATACAACTGGCGTGGTATTGTGAAGTCTAATGTGTTTCGTTTCACTTTGATTATTCCTTCCTCTGTAGATGGCGCCTCCAGAAATCCTTTTACTCTCCTGAGAGCACTGGAGCTACAGGCTGTTCAGGAATCACTTGTCAGGATGTGTTTCCTGTGTGCACATGCACATGCGTTGAGTCACCAGCTGAGAAACTGAATCGACCTTTGACCCTGGAGGATCTGTCTGGCATGTCACCAGAATACATCTGTAATTTAACTGTGAACGAATGGCGGTTAACTCCATCACTGAGGTAAGCAATTGTGAGTTAATAAGAGACTTGTTCAAATCAAATAGCACAACCCGTGATAAGCCAAACCCCTAAGGGGGGGGGGGGAGGGGGTACTCCCTATAATGACCTATACGGAGGCAGCGTGGCCGAGTGGTCAGCTCGTTGGACTAGCAATCTTGCGGTCCCGGGTTCGAGTCCCGGCGCTCTGGCCACTTGCTGGATTTTTTCACGGTAGTTCCGAGTTCAAATCCTCGGCCACGCTTGTAAATTGCCAACTGGTTGCCTCCTGCCAGTTGGGGTTTTTAATCCTGTTATGTTGCATTTGAATTATTTGTTTCTAAGTATTTGAGTGGATTGCCTGTAAACTAGCTGGATAAGCTAAGTGCGCTTTCCACTATAAACAAGCCTTAAACCTTAAACCTCACGGGGAGGCAGGCTTCAGATATGTGAAAGGGTAGGGACATCTGTTCTGTTGGTCTGTAAAAAGGCCCCAAAGGGCTAACAGATGCGTGCTATGGCTGTGAAAAAGTCGTGAAAACGTTCTGGCTTTGTGTTTTATTCATATTCAAAAGACAGTGCATTTACAGCAGTTAAAAGGGATGCAACGTTCCGAACAAGGTATGTGAAAGGGGCACCATTTGTCAGTGGAAGGTATATGAAAAAGTACTTTTTCTGTAACTACCCTAATTGTCTTCACCGATTTCAAAATTAGAGAGTTCTTTAACACATCCCAATTCCCAACCGAATAACTAAATACTAAGTACATGGACTTTTTATAGTTTAATGCTACGTTAACTGTTTATTTGTTTGAATTAAAAGCATCATTACTGGTAATGAATGAAACTAATATTTGATTTCCTGTTATCGATGACCATATACGTTTTTTCCCACCAGAGAGCCTTTATTCGCACTTCTGACGATGGCACCCTCTGGAATTGAACGAATTGATAATTTTCAGGGTAATAAACAGTTTGAAAACCGCCTACATCCGAATGACATTAAATTATCCGAAGCCATGGCAACCTCAGCAGCAGCTGTTTCATTCCACATGGGTCAGTATGAGAGTGATATTGATCCAGTTCAAAGCTTACAGATCATTTTTGGATTAGGAATGGGAAAATCCATAGTCGCTGAGCCCCAGCGGTGTCCAGGATCAACCTTGGTAAATTTACTTTGCTCACTATCTTTATTATTATCATCTTCATCAATAATATCGTTGGTATCATCACCCCGGACGTAGTTAATCCATAAAAATCGATATCGGAAATCAATCGATGTCATCGATATTAATCGATTGATATCGGAAATCGATAGAAATCGAAGTCACATAAAATAATTTATCGATTGTTATCGATTAACAAAATCGATAACATTCGATAGGAATCGATAGTAATCGATAAAAAAATCCGTTTCGATTTCTATCGGAAAATCATCAATAATAATCGAAGTCACAACTTTTTCTCTATCGACTTCTATCGATCGATATCAGAAATCGATATTCATCGATGATTGATATCGACTACTATCTATTATTATCGATTATCGGTTTATCGATTAACTACGTGTGGCATCACCATTTTTGTTGTCTTCGTCTTCATCATCATAATGCATAGAACAAGTCCAGCTGAACTATTTCTCCTCAGGCCAAACCCCAGGCATTAGCATTTCCCCCCCTGTTAATGAAGCTGCCCCCCCCGTAGGGACAAGGTTGGACAAAGAAGAAGATAGCAAATGCCCCAGCCCCTGCAGGATCGTGCCCATAAACACTGGCTGCAGTTTTCGCCGTATAGTGACAGGTCATGTTGTAGCTTGATAAGCAGTGAAGAAATTAATGTGATAAAAAAGAAAACTACCTTTTGATACTTCTTCAACCTCTTTAAGTTTGTCCGAGCTTATTGGCGACGAACTGTTAGTACTTTACGATAAAATCCTCCATGTTTAGAATTCGAGTCGGGAAACCGCATGCGTGTCCAAAGCCCCGCGCGGGATAGCCAAATTTCCGATCCTTCAGGTAAATTCTGTAAAAATATGATGTTTTCTTAGTTACAACACATTGCCATTCCTTACAGATCATTACCATCCTTATTCAACTGATTTTGGTAGTTCCAATTATTGGCCTTCCCATAATTCCACTGTTGGGTGGTAGCGAGGCCTGGAACCAGAGAGCCGTGATTTTCTTTGTGGTTTTCCTCTGCTTACTAACGCTTATCGCCTTGTTACCCACGGGAGCAGAAAATCCCGGATATTTGGAGACGTTTGTCAGGTATTTGATTCATCATTTTTAACAACTAAACTTCAGTGTAGACATTCTATAGCAGGAGCCGATTAAGTAATCGGCTCCTGATAGCACTGAAGAAGACCCTAAAGCAATAATCATGATAATAGCATCAAGAAAATGACACGCTAAGAGGCCTGATGAAAATAAACGGTCTCACTCCGTTAAACAAAAAGACATTAAGTTGAGGGACAGGGCGTTTAAACTTTCCGGCTCCCGTCCCGTTTTCGATTGCAAAACACTAATTATCCCTGTTAAATAATTTCTCCCCATTTCTCCCATTTCCCACCCTTCTAGAACTCCCCTCTCCCTCCCTCCACCCATATCCCTCGCGCTCCCAATCTCCCACCATTGAGGTATGTAAAGGTCGTCTCAATTAATACATTTGTTTGTATTTTTGAATACTTACAGTTGAGTTTTTTTTTATTTATTTTTTTTAAAGAAAATAGTCTAATTTAATTCTTCGCAATTTAAGTTAATAAAAAGTACATTGTAAATAAAAAGGTTGGGATAGGGAAGTTAAAGCAAACTCACTGGATAATTAACAATTATTCCTCGAGCCCGAAGGCCTCATGGGCTATTGACTCAGAGGCCATGAGGGCAAGAGGAATAATTGTTTTAGTAAAATCCAACTAGTTGGTCAAAAATATCGAGAATAAAAAAAAATTATCTGGTTAAAGCTAGACTTTTATCCTCTTTTGCCGCCAAAAAGCGCGCGCTTTTCGCTACCAGTAGGCTATAACCTACCTAGCCTAGTAGTAGCTCAACCAATCAGAACGCAGCATTGATAATAGACCACTAGTTGGATTTTACTAACTATTCAATATTTCCGGATGCAATGGGCCATTTGCACCATGATCACGTCTTTTTACTACTAAGTCCAGAATTCATTTTGTTTCTCCTTTCATATTTAAATTTGGTAGTCTCAGTGAGGTTTAAATAACAAAAGGCTTAAATTGCACAAGAAAGCAATACCCTGAAGGATTCTGGTGGTAGTAGTAAAATGACGCCATCGTGCAAATGTCCTAACAACGTTTAGCGTCATTGAATCACCCACGATCCCGCTGTATGGTGATAATGTCGGTCATGATGATGAGTATGAGATTTTTAAACTGCATGTTTTAAAAATAGAATTCACGTTGCTGTCCGACATTGTTTAATTGACTGTTTTGTGTAATCAGAGTCTGTAGTAATCAGCTGAAAAAGTAATCAGAACCAATTATATTATGGAATTGGGTATGCAATAACCCCTGCCCCTTTCGACGCCTACCACACAAACTAGCTATGCAAACAACAAATTGACACCTATCCCTTCTTGTTGATGTATAACTTATAATATTGCAGATGGTGTGTTGTCCACATACACCATGTCAGATTCATCCGGGAAGTTTTTGAAGTTGTGAACGTTGGTCCCACTCCCCCTCCAATACTGCAGCTGAGTGACGGCGGCCATGTTGAAAACCTGGGGCTGTTACCGTTGTTGAAAAGAAGACTACAGAAAATAGTGGTCATCGATGGAGGCGAGGAGGGAGAAGGCGGGCCCGGAACAGATCTCCTCTCCGCAATCAAAAAAGGCAGAGAAAAACTCCGGATTTCGTTTACCGGTATGGACGGACGAGACATTTACGAGGACCTAAGAGCAAAATTCATCGACAGGCCACCGGGAAAGCAGCCGAGAAGTTATCGATTTAAAGTTGAGTACTTCGACTACACAGACGAAGGTGAAGAAGAGAAGGTCGGTGAAGGGGAAGTACTTTACATTGTTCCCCGTCATCCGGGACATGGCCTGAGTGCAGAGCGCGAGGAATGGGGCAAGTCGACTGATGAAGTAAAAATCGATATCAACATTAAGGATGAACTATGGGGCAGTGGACCGGAAATGGAAGCGGATGAAGTGGATCGTTTGACGTACTGCTGTTGTGAGTGTTGTCACCGATCTCTGTTGCAGTATTTATCAGGATCGTGCTGTGGTGTGTTTCCTAATCATTCAACGGCCAATCAGTTTTTTACGCCCACCATGTTTGCAGCTTATCATCGAGAAGGCTACCGGGTATGCATGGAAGCGCGTGTTGTTGATTTTCTGGGAAAATGAAACAAGAACAACTGTAAGAATATAAATTATCATCACCTTTTAAGGTCCGGCCAGGGGGTTTTGGTTATTCGGGTATCTGGGGTCCTTTTTGTTCAGGTAAAACGGGTATACATAATTATGTTCCTGCACCAGAAGTTCGCAATCTAGTGACAAAGGACGAAATGAAAAACGTGCGTGACTGACTACAGTGCACCAAAAGTAACCTGACGAATCACTTTTAGGTATTCGGTATCAACCAATCAATCAATCATTCAAATCCTTATTTTAACACGGTTTAACAATTACTTAAAACGATTGAGAGATCTCTCTTGCGTAAGATTGCAGGCTAGACCATTCCAGAGAGTTGCACCTCTATATAGCTAATAAGCTATTTTTTAAGTAGTTAGTTCTTGGTAAAGGGACATTTAATTTATTTGCAGAGTCCCTTAAGACATAGCCTGAATTACTACGCTCAGTGAACATAGAGGATAGATAGTAAGGAGCCAGATAATTAAGAGCTTTCAGGTATATTGGTTTCTTATGAGGAAACAATTATCCCACTACTGCCTAAACTGCACGTTTTTGAGCGACGCACGTCAACCGGAAGTGGCCTTTTTTCATTTTTTGACGGTGGTTTCGCGCAAATTTTCAGTCAAATCGCCTCTATAATAGTAAAGAAGCTAAGGAATACAAATTTTATATCATCAAGGCATGTTAAGAGGGAAAATACCTCACTTCCGGTTGACGTGCGTCGCCCAAAAACGTCGCTGCTTAAGCTCCCTAATGTTAGCCAATATTGATACAAGTAACGACGTTGTACAGTGGCGGATCCAGGGCAGGAGACGGCCCCCCCTTTTTTTTAGGCCAAACTGAGGCCCGAAGGGCCGAAAAAAATTTTGGAGACAGCCCCGCCCTCCTTATCTCAGGGTCTGGATGACCCCCCCCCCCCCTCCTCGTTATCTGCAGGTCTGGATACGCCACTGTTGTATAGGTTATAAGTGACATCCACAAAGCTCTCGCCGGTGTCACGGCTTATTTTACAAAAACATTGAGAAGAAAACTGGAACTTTTACTGTTACTTAATACAGGGTGAGTCTATTCCAGGTTATCAGTACATAGTGCTAGTGAAAAGGAACTGAGAGCTAAAGCCCAGATAAAAAAAGAGGCCATGTAGGTCCGCGGCTACAATCTTGTCGAAATAAACGGTGTGTAACCGCAAACACGGAAGTGACCAAAACCCAGAGCCAGTCTATTCCAAGCTGTTTCCCCAAGGGAGCTTTTGGGAAAAGGTCTAGTGTAACCGAACCTAATATGTACTAAACGCAAAGAAATTACCAAATCACTCTACCAGCAGAGCTTTGCGGGTTTCGCGTGTTCGACTTTAGCGTACTTGAGATAGACTCTGCATATGTCGAGCAAGATCTTTGTTGAGCATGCGCTGCATGTTGCTTGGATACCATTCTCGTCCCCAGAGCCCGTCTTTTCTTGGTCAAGTGTAAGCCCAGTGGCTCTGGGGACGAGAATACTTGTGTACAGTTTCGAACCCAGGCTTAATAGCCGTGCGATAGCTACAGTGGGCTTAATTATGACAATCGGTTTATCAATACACAGATCCACGCACTCGAAAAAACATTTTGACCATCGAGAGAAAACAAGATTGACAGGTCCAGAATTTCGAACTGCGGCGACTTGAAAGGCTTGAAACGATTCAGGCGGAGCTTCCTTTTCTCCTCCTCGATCGAAGGAGACAAAAAGGCGGCACTGCTCGCAGGGTGCGATCTTCAGACCAAATGGAACTACCCCACCGTATAGCATAATCAAGGCGGTATGTTCCGGTTGTCAGCGGGGTCGGAGTTGGGGTCGGGGCCGGGGTTAGTGTTAGGGTGATAGACCCCGGGCCCGGCCCCGGCCCCGACCCCGTATTCTACTGACAACCGTATGTTCTCTAGAAGTGGGTTCATTTCGACCTGTCAGAAGACCTTTATGTTGTCTAACGAATCATCAGTACTGGGAAAGTAAGGAATAAAGTTTCGTGCAAAATGATCAGCATTGTTTGATGCGTCTGTTCAGCTTATTCTTTAAACTCAGATTCGTCTTTAAGCTATAATTGTTACACTGTCAGGACAGGTGATGTAAAAGTACTCAAATCGCGCTGAAACTTCATAAAAACAAAGACAACGACACCAGGTAACAATAGGGCCATTTATACGAGGAAAAATAAGACGCGTCTTACATAAGACGCGTCTTAAATAAGACGCGAACTTTCCGTATAAACGGCACACTTCGTCTAAAATAAGACGCGGCTTAGCTAAGACGCGTTTTATTAGATAAGACATGCTCGTATAAATGGTACAGTTCGCGTCTTATTTAAGACGTGTCTTATGTAAGACGCGTCTTATTTTTCCTCGTATAAATGGCCCTAATATTAACACTTTATTGATAACTTTTATCGCTTTTAGTTCATTTGTTTCGTCTAAGTTTCATTTCCCATACAAACTCTTATTACGCTTGGGCCACATGTGCCTTGACTTGCAAATCCTAGCATTTCTCACCAGTTGAGACATATAAACTCCATAGGCCGGTTTACTGGGGATGTTGCTGTCCATATGTGGAAAAATGACGATTCGGAGTGCAAAGTCCTCTCTTTTATCGTAGACGCTGACATGGAAAGGTGAGTTGTTGTCACCAAGCTTGATCCTTGCGTCGAGGTAACACACTTCAGTTGTTGGTGTGGAAGTGTCCTTTAGTTCCAGTTCCGACGGGTAAATTGTGCTGATGTAATTTTCAAATTGCTCATTGTTAACGCTCAATAAATCGTCAATGTATCGAAAAGTGTTGCTGAACTGAATGGCTTTTGTCATACCGTAAAATTCAGAAAATAAGCCCCGGGGCCTCTTTTTGAGGGGCTTATTTTTGGAGGGGCTTATATTCGGAGCGGCTTATCTACGGAGGGAAATTTGCGTTTCAAAATCGATCGGGCTAGCCTTATAGTTTGAAGTAAATTTACCGTTTTTGCTTTGTTTTGCTTGCAATTTCCAAGTACAAGCCCCGGGGGGGGGAGCTTATATTTGGAGGGGCGATTTAACGGAGGGTTTTTTGCGTTACGAGTTTAGGGGGCTTATATTTGGAGGGGCTTATACACGGAAGGGCTTATTTTCGGAATTTTACGGTTTCTTGTTTCAAGGTGTTAAGCATAAAGTCATACTCGAAGGTGTGAAGAAACAGATCGGCCAACAAGGGTGCACTGTTAGTGCCCATAGGTATACCAAAATTAACCTTGCCGGAAAACGAATTTTCTGAAGCGGACGTAGATGTTGTCGATACGAAAGTCAATAGCGAGGCAAAGTTCCCCACAGGAGAAGTAAGAGTAGCTTCTATAAGACTTCCTATCATGATCATTCGTCCAGAAAGCGTGAAAATTATTAGTGGCGATGAAGCTCTTTCCTCTCTGGTGTTGAAGACTGTCTCCAACAATTCATGGAGTTGCTGTTTACGTTTGGCATGTTTTAGGCTTGTATAAAGAGTTGAAAAGTCCCAGGTTCTCATCTCAGTTAGTGAAAGTTGCTTCTCCTCAAGTGTGTGAAGAACGTCCAACGAGTTGTTGATTATCCACATGCAGCTCACTCCTGTTCTTTCTCGAATGGTTTTGCAATTGGGAAGTGCAGTGACATTTGACTAGCTTGAGACACTCAGTAATCAATTTAGAGAGGTTAGTTCTAGTGCATTAACTTGCGCTTGCAATAAACCTTGCCTACGAACATGTCATGTATGGCTGCTATCGAAAAAGGGAAGCTAACCAGTGTCTTCATAGCGGGTCAGCATGTAACACCAGGCACAGTCAACTCTCTCAAAGACGGACACCTTTGGGATCAGCATTAAGTGTCCGTCTTAGAGTGATGTCCATCTTCAGTACGGAGTAGAATATAGGGAGTAAAGGAAGGCAGTGACCAACTCTAGGTGTCTGTCTCATAGAGGTGTCCGTTAAGATAGGGTCCACTGTGCTAAGTATTCTAACTGAGTCATTTATCTAAGACGGACACCTTTGGGACCAGCATTAAGTGTGCGTCTTAGAGTGATGTCCATCTTATACAGAGTCAAATATGGGGAGTAAAGGAAGATAGGGACTAACTATCGGTGTACTGACGTTTTGCCGTCGTGTCCGTCTTATACGCCACATTTAAGCGAATCCAAGACAGACTTGGATTCTGGATTCCATACCGTGGATTCCAGATTCCAGGTACTAGATTCCAGTCTTTGTCAGTAGATATAGGATTCTGAACTCCAATCGTTAGTGGGATTCCGGATTCCCTGAGCTGTATTCCGGATCCCAAAACCCAGGATTCCAGATTCCATTAGCAAGATTTTCCCAGATTTCGGATTCCACAAGCAAAAATTTCCCGGATTCCGGAATCCGAATTGCCTTACACGAGGTGAGTCTTTTATAGAGTTGTCAGTTAAGAGAGAGTCGGCTGTAAAGGGCTGTTTCTTGTTGCTAGGGAAACTTTTGTTGGTTCCCTTCTTGTCTTTTTGTGTGGGTGTTGTCAGTGTATTTGCAATCTTTTGCTTTACGTCACTTGGCGATTGGATCTGTTCGCAACACCAAGATACTACCAGACAAAGATTTCACGATTTTTACCGATAACTGGTTATATTACGTTTAGATTTCACCTAGATTTGGATTTCTTCCTTTTCTAACCTGGATTTCTTCTTTCGCCCTCACAGAAACAACTGTCGCCTGCTACGCAGGCTATATCAGGTTTAGCAGATCATCAGTGTAAATAGACGTTGAAGGGCAATAGATACAATAGAACAGTGAAGAGTCAATGGACCACTGTGGAACATATATAAACTGAAACTGCTATATTGCAAGGATAAAATATGACGCAAAATGATCGGGTTTAGTACACTGAAACACTCACTGCTTAAAAGGTCCACACCAGAAAAAATGATATGTTTTAGCACCATTATGGGCTCCTTGCACCATCGAGTATATAAATACATGCATCCTAAGGAGCACAGAAATGGTACCGTAAAATTCCGAAAATAAGCCCCTCCATGTATAAGCCCCTCCAAATATAAGCCCCCCAAACCGGTAACGCAAAAAAACCCCCGTTAAATCGCCCCTCCAAATATAACCCCCCGGGGGCTTGTACTTGGAAAATTGCCCTCAAACACAAAGTAAAACAAAGCAAAAACGGTAAATTTACTTCCAACTATAAGGCTAGCCCAATCTATTTTGAAACGCAAATTTCCCTCCGTAGATAAGCCCCTCCAAAAATAAGCCCCTCAAAAAGGGCCTTTGAAAAATATAAACCCCGGGACTTATTCTTGGAATTTTACGGTAGTTTCGAATTGACTGAGGCAGAAATAATGTCTAGGTGCAATAGGCATAAACTACTGAGAATGTAATGGTATAATTCTCGCCTACCGGTTTATATTATGAATTTTATTAAGTTCACCAGAAAAGGAGTTGTCAGACATAGCAAACACTATAAGTTTAATAAATATTTAACTGCTGCAGTTTGGTGTTGGAATAATGTAAAATAAATTGTTGTTCACTAACTTCTTTGCCGTTGAATTTGTTACGCCTACTATAAAACTTGAAAAACGTCGCGCGTGGTTTATGCGCGTGACAAAATAGACTTTGGTAACTTTGTTTGTATTTGGTAATTAACCCCTGAAGGTGGTTACAAGGAGAACAAGACAAAACTAAAACTAGCAATAATGATATTGTACAGTTGAATACAAAACGTTTTCTAACTGAACATTAAAGGGGAATAAATGAAGACGTACGCGCGTCTTTTCAAGGGAACAAACCGTAAATCCTCTATTAAGCCCCCCCCCCCCCCTCTCAAATATGCCCTTTCCCTCTAATAAGCCCTTTCCCCCTTTTCAGGAGAAGAAAGTTAATAAGCCCCCCTCTCCTCCCCTTATTATTGCAAGCGTTTCCAATCGAGTTATTGCGCGAAAGTTACGACGAACTCGCGCGGAAACGCTTGCTACACAGGCTACGGCTGCATGACCTATAGCCTGTTCCAGGCGTTCAGATAGTAGAGCGCGGCGGTAAGTGGGGAGCGAGTTAAGTTGTACACCGGGAAAACGACGGGGTGGGGCGAAAGCGAGAGAACGCCTGTAAACATTGTTAACAAAGGGTCGTTCCGGTATGCTGGATTCCAGCATACCCTCTTATTGATCGATTATGACACCTTCTGTTAACACTCGAGCACTGGTGACATTGATGAGGAATGCAATATGGAGGGAGAGAGACATCTGTTATTGAATCACGCGTACATCGAAGCAACTATAAACAACTTCAATCGAGCATTTCCTGTATGAGGAATCTTTAAGTGAAGAGCAGAAAATTTGCTTGAATCTCGTTCAAGGCCAGGACGTTTTCGCGATTCTTTCAACGGGCTCTGGGAGACCTTCATTTTTCTACTATTTCCACGAATAGTAAACGTAGTCAAAGGAAAAGTTGCCGAGTCAATTTCCACGATCATCATCGTTGCGCCTCTCGTAGCCATAACGAAACCAAGCTCAAGCGATTTGGAATAACAGCAACAACAGCCATAGGTTGGGGACAGGAGGAAGGCATGGACGACGACACGGTAAGGTGAAAGGAAGGTGTGCGTGTGAGATCATTTATGGAAGCCCAGAAAGGTAAAAAAAATCTCATTTGAAAGGTTATTTATCCGCAATAAAAAGATTAATACTGTAACAGAGGTCAAAGAAAATCAGTCCTTAACTGCATCTGGAATCAAATTCTTTCAGAAACAAACCGCAGGAAATAATTGCCCAGTATGCATGACTGACCGTCTAAATGTTAGACTCAGTGCGACAGAGTTAGATTTGCTTCGTTAAAAGAAGGAAAACCTCTGATGTTGTTTATATTGAAAGCTAACTCAAAGGTCACGCTACCATCGTCGTTTCTAAATCAAATGACCCCCCTCTCAAATAAGCTCCCCGTCTCTAATAAGCCCTCCCCCCCTACAAATGGGCTTGAAATAAGTAAGCTCCCCGGGATTCAATAGAGGATTTACGGTACTCTAGGAAAATGAGACAACAAATTCTAGTGCTGTGAAACTAGTCGCTGCACGTGACGATGCCTTCATTATGAGTCCGGTGAAGATGGTTAACTGTTCCAAAATACCGCTACACTATAACCGAAACTTTTTTTGAAAAGTTATTTTTGAAGTTTATCACTTTGTTTGACTATATTCTGTCTTTTACTGTTACAATAACATTGTGGCTTAAATCTTACGGATAGCAGGATACTTACCAAATATAAACCTGACAACTACAACAGCTTTTCGCTCAGTGGAATGCTCATCGCATAGATATATTCCTAAGCTGGTGACGCCCTTATGTTTTATGTAATTTAGAATAACTTAATTCTGATTATTCATTCTTGTAATTCGATTTTACTGTCATTTATTTTCCACATACACCGTTCAATAAAATCCATAGATCACCCGACAGCAGAGTGGTATAGATGTACCTGTTTGAAAATGGGTCATTTTACAATGTCGCATACGCCTTTGCCGCATCTTCTCGCGGTCCTTGGGATTCAGCAAGGAATTCAGTTGCATTCGCTTCCATACAAGCGCGGTAACCCTCTCTATGATACGCTGTAAACATGGCAGGTGTGAAGAACTGATTAGCTGTTGAATGCTGGGGAAACGCACCACACATCCACTCTGACAATCCCCGACACTTGACTCCATGACAACCCTCACAGCAACAAAACGTCAGACGATCTACTTCTTCTCCTGACAGCTCTGGACCAGGTCCCCAACGGCCAGCTTCGAGATCAATGTCAATGTCACGCAACACCTCTCCCCAAGTTTCGTTTCCCTTCTTTTGCACTGTCTTGTCGGGGTGTCGGGGAGCAATGAAGAGTATATCAGCTTCACCAACTTTCGTTTTACCATATCCGCTGGGATCCTTGTCGTAGTAGTGAACTTTAAACCTAAGAAATAATTACCAACTTCTCATTTCACAAAGGTAAATGTATACGCCATCTAGAAGGAATGGTTCCTTGCTAGGGAATAAAGCGGACTAAAGCCCCGGGGGAGGGGGGAGGCAGGACTAAAGCAAATGACTGACTGTCGAACCTCCCGTAAGTGTTCATCCTCATTTATCCTCAATGTTAAGACTCTTTTTAAGTTACGATATGGTTAATTCCATGTTATCACTGAGAGGTCTTCGTATATGCTGATGTTCTGAGTAGTATAGTACGGGGGAGGGTACTCCTGGGAATTCTTGGTAGGGCTGTGCCGCCCGGTTCTCCAAATCTTGACCCTATTTCAAACCAAAACTTAATTAAGTAATTTTCCACACCCGTTTTCAGACCAGACCTCTAAAATCCATACCCGTTTTCAGACCTGGCCTTTAGGCAGAAATTATGTTATCATTACTTAGATTAGAGTGCACACAAAAACATTCTTCAAATTCATTTCGAATTCGCATATTTGTCTTTCTTTCTTACTCATCTGGAATTGAAACGATAAATACGTCCATACACTCCCGTAGTTCACTCAAAAACCATACCCCAATCCAGACAAAAATGGGCAAATTGCATACCCGTTTTCAGACCCTGAAACGACGCAAAAACTGATTTCAATAGCAGTCTACTTTTTAGTTTAATGGAAAGAGGTTTAGACAATGAAGAATAGAAAAATCATCATCTTAAAAAATAACCGCGGTCGCTTATGATAAGCGGTCGTTTACAAAAGGTTCCAACAAGGCTTTGACTGGGCAAATTTTGGTGTTTTATGTTAGTGGTCGTTTATGGGAGGTGGTCGCTTACTAGAGATTGTCACACGTTAAGGTTCAACTGTCCGAAACTGTATTACCCATCCCAAATTAATTATATATTCGCATTTTGATGATTTTAAGCGCCATTGCGTGAACCTTCTCGCTGCTTATATTTCCCGTACAAAAATTCTACACTTTTAAAAATTTTCATTTTCAAATTACCGGTAACTGCTTGGCTGTGATCCTGGAGGTTGATTCACAAATTTGTCTTGTATATCCTCCGCAATGTCTCGTCCATCCATTCCCGAAAATGAACAACCTAGCTTTTTTCTGGCCATATCCAAAGCGGCCAATAAAGTTGCACCATAAGCTTCGTCACAAATTGTGCGTCCACCATTGACGACAACAATCTTTTTCAGTCTTAGCTTGAGAAGAGGAAGGATTCCAAGGTTTTCAATATGGCCGCCATCACTCAGACGTAAGACGGGCGGAGGATTGGGACCTAGATTCGTCACACCAATGGTTTTACGGACAAAGCTGACGTAAGCGACGTTTATGGTGAACCACCTACAAAGAAGCGATTGGTTAGTCGTTAAAAAGTAAGCTTAATAACATTTGACCCGTTCTCTCAATTCAGGAAAGGTAAGTACCGGGAATGGTCTGTATTCAGCACGACTTTTTTAGAGGGAAGGAAAATCGAAAAATCATGCCCTATATTTATAAGAAAAAACAGAAAACGCAAGATTGGGTAAACAGATTGTGTATGTTTCTGCAGCTGTTATTGGTGTTGCTTTTTATGATTCTTTAACCAAGACTTTTTTAAAATAAGATACAATGACCCGGTAAGTGAGGTTTTATGAAAGTTACTACTTTGGTCTAGTGCTCTTATAGGTATCTTGTCATGGGACCACAATCCTGATTAAAAAATAGAGCCTGTTTAAAGACTGGGTATCTTGATATCGATGATACTCTTTTATACCCGTGGTACGCACAAACCTATTTCCAGTAGCTTGAATATGGGAGAACCCCTTCCAGCCCACTGGATCTTAGCACCCTGTATCTCCGTTTTGACTGTGATAAAACACTCTGCCTAGTATCCACCTCTTTCAACTTTTGAACTAAATTTGTCTATAGGCCAAGGGCGACGTCCTCCGTGGGTTAACTCGTATTTTATCATTGTGTTTATAATATATTGGGTCATGATACAAACTTCAAAACTTAAAAACAAGTTAGTATTTCAAAATGTCATTTGTCAGGTGAACGAAGTAATCTACCTGGCAATCCGTTCCAGTCGTCCCGGATTTTTGCTGCCAGTCGGTATTAGTGCGGTGAGCGTGAGTAATATCAGCAGACCAAAGAACGTCAAGATTCCAATAACCAAGTACCTTCTCCGACCAGTTTGCCAGTAGAGAATCAAACAAAGCATCAGTGGCAGGATACGAAGTACTTCTATGACAAGCGGCAAGAACTGAGAAAAAGTAATTAAAAACAGAGAAATTATTAATAAGGTTTTGTTAGGGGGAGGGGTGGGGGATTCACTTTTCCCTATTCTGAATTTCAAAAGCTCTCGCTTCTCATGTTGAGGAGGAAGCCATGTCCCTGTCGATATTTTACTAGAACTGTATTTGCGCAGGGTGGCGCAGTGGTGAGAGCGCTCGCCTCCCACCAATGTGGCCCGGGTTCAACTACCGGCGTCGACGCCATATGTCGTTTGAGTTTGTTGTTGGTTCTCTCCCTTGCTCCGAGAGGTTTTTCTCCGGGTTCTCCGGTTTTCCCCTCTCCTCAAAAACCAACACTTCCAAATTCCAATTCGATCTGGAACGCACGAACACGTTTAAACGAGTTCATATATACTCCTATGTGCTTCGTGGTTAAACAAGCAATTTACAATTTTAATTTTTTTTTTGCGCATTTCATCGTCGCTGTCGCAGTTTTCACCCATTGGGCTATTTGTAGCCATTTTATCTGTCTTATGTCACTGTTTCAAGTGTGCTGCATGTGCAAAGTTGTATTTTTGCTAATCAGACCAATTGCCGTTCTCGTTGCCGTCGCCGCTCTGAGCATGACACGATGTAACTTTTCCATTGAGTAAACTATAAGTATGTTAACGAGAGCTTCGCTTTTAGCCGTGGCTAAATCTATATATATTACGCTAAGTACATCAAACAGAGCTCTAAGCCAACAACAGCCATTACTCGGAGCCAGGTCCCCAAAAGCCTGCCGTCGATGTCACGCAACACCTCTCTGAATGTTTCGCCGTAATCCTCACTCCTTGTAGCCTCCCACGCAGGCGTTTTTAGGGGAGCTCGTTTGTGGGGAGGGATGAAAAACGAGCTCCCCTAAAAACGCCTGCGTGGGAGGCTACACTCCTCGCCGCTAGGGATGTTTTTCCACCCGAGAGGAGGAGGAGGTGAGGAGAGACGGCAGTTTTTCAGGCTACTTTTGCAGCGGCGGATCCAGGGGAGGGGCCCGGAGGGGAGAACGGGGCCCCCACTTATCTAAGGGTCTGGACGACTGCCTCCCCCTCTCCCCTTTCTTAGGGTCTGAATCCGGGCACTGTTTTGTAATAGTGAGTTTACGCAACAGGACGGCAGGAAGAAGAGGACGGCAAAATGTTTGTGTGTGACAAACTCAGCAGTGATCTTCACTTAGCGTTACTGTTTTCTTGTTTTTACAAAAAGATCTGTTTAAAGGAAAGTGAAGTTTGGCGAAAAGTTATTTCAAACAAAATTGTTGTCACGGTTGTCACACAAGGTTTGCCGTCTTCTGTCCTCTCCCGTCCTGTTGCGTAAGTTCACTAATGTCTTTTGCGTGACACAGAGCTACATAAATGAAGTAGTATAAAAATGGCAAGTCAAATCTTCAGTCAATCAGTCATTTTCTTCTAGATTAAAAAAAGTTTATTTATCCACCTGGATTAAACAATTCCTTTTTCCCTCGTGCCTCTCGTCAGCAACGACCGCCGTCCCCATCGAGATTCCAAGCATAACCTTTAAGTCTTTAAAGGATGCGTCATCTCCTTCATAGGCTCCCATGTGATGATCGACAGCGGCAGCTGACGTTGCCATGGCGTCAGATAAGAACACATCCATAGGCATCAACTTGCCAACAAACTCACTTTCGTGAAGAGGTCGGTCCAGTCGTTCAATTCCATTTGGCGACATCGTTAAGAGTTCATAATCTAGTTCTTTAGAGGAGGTGGTACGTCGCCATTTATTGACTGTGATCCCGCCTATGTAAATGGGCTTTACGTCATCAAGGTCCTCCAAGGTCAGTGCTCGGCTGAGGTTGATGCGCTGCATATGTGGACTGCACGTTGGGCAACGTAAGAACAGATCTCGCCATGATATTCCTCCACAGCCCCATGTACCTACGCTTGACGGTGTATAGAAAGCTCGTTGGATACGCCACCTGTGTCAATTAATTATGTAGTTTAGGGAAAACGTTAGCACTCGGTCAACAAATCCGTATATTGTTATAATTTAATTTTTTTAATATACAATATTCACCAGGAAAGGAAACGTCGTGCAAAGTTTTGGCTTATTATGATTTCAGTCTTGGTGAAATAAACCTGTACAACCACTACTTGTCAACAAAAATTATATTTACCCGATCATAAACTCAACCCCTTTACTCCTATGCTCTATGTTTGCTTTGAGGACTCTTAGCGGATATTGAAAGGATTTTATTAATGAGGGCATTTGAAGTATGAAGATATGAAATAGGAAAACTTAACGTTTTTTAAAAGATCAAAAATACTATTTTCAGGTCTGTATGTTTCGTTGACTAGTTTTTAGGACTTAGAAGATATTATAAAGTCGCGCCAACATCTATCTGAAAATAAACTGGTCGGTGAACACGCCGTGACACGAGCGCATGTAAGTTGCTCTCTCCGGAGTTATGGGCTCAAGAGTACACTGATCTAGTCTGTACTTAAAGATATGAGGCCTCCTCTAATAATCTCAAATAAAACATTTGATTTTCTTGATAAAATAATCTTTTTTCTCGAGGCCAAAGCAGATTTTTAATCTTAAAAAAGTTTGAAATTCAAGTATTAATTATCACAATTAACGAAACTTACCTATTATAAACGTGGCCAATGCGCTGCTGTATTGTTCCTATAATAGGCGCAATCCACAAAAGAACAGTAGACACACCCATCAGAGTACTGAACAACTCGTCATTGTACTCTAAGCTGAATACGCGACCGTTGAAAACTTTCCAGTTAATTACAAAAGAGTAGACGTAAATCACAAGAACAAGAGTGGCATTCTTGCGCATGAGCGGAAACGAAAACCAAAGAAAAAATGTGGGCAGGATGATAAGAAATTTCATCCACATTGGAATCAAGTGAAGAAATTCGTCAATGAACCAAGGAATGAAAACCAAACCAAAAAAGACGAAACCGGACGTAGAGAGGAATGTGAACAGGCCTTTTCCTTTGGTAAATAAACCTTTGATAACACTGGATAATACAGCTACAGCAATAGGTGCTGCGAACAGGGCGAATTGTTTGTAAATAATAGGGGAGGTAAGTCGTTCTGCACGGCATTCTTTAATGGTCATACTTGGATCCTTTTGGACCACCTTTGAGCAAGGTTTACCTCCGCCACGAAGAATCTTTCCAAACAAGAAGTCGATCACAAAAGCTAGTGGACATGCGTAAGAAGACCACAATAGAAAGGGGATGATTAAGGCGACAAATACTGTCATCGTGAACAATATGGCAGAATCCAGAATTCCTTGGCAGGGCCTTTGCCAATTGCAAAAGGCACCGCTTCGACTTCGCAGATGCTCGAAGAATTCCCGATGCCACTCTGGAGAGTCCTTTTTGCCATTCTGGTACTTCCAGTCCAAGTACGCAGTACCTGTGTAACCACCCCCTGACACGCAGCTTAGGAAATCTACATTGGCTTTCTTCTGGAGTAGTCTGCGCAGGACACCGGAGCAGAATGACGCTGACCGGATCCCACCACCAGAGAATGCTAATCCAACTTTGGCCATAACGTAATAGATTGTTGTCGCTTATTTCTCTCTAGAAAGACCGATAAAGAAGAAAAAAACGTTCATTGTACCAGACAGACTTTTCAGATGTGTATAAAGCCATTTATTCAGATTTTGAATTCACACATCTGTCTATAATTACAGATATCTTTTATATCTATTGATACCGTCTTAGCCTGGCCGCCCCTTCCCTCAATTTTATTCGGGGAGATTTGGAAGTACCTCATACCTCAAAGATGGCGTCCGCCTCGGCCGTGCTGACCAAAAACAGATCGCAAGCTATGGATTTTTGAATTACATATTTTCGATTGACACTAGTAGCTAAACAAGTGAGACTCGATATTGGAGTAGAAGAGAATACGTACAAACATGGAAAAAATAGAAGAAATAATCGTTTGAGAAGATGTCACATGAAAACTGGCTCAGCTTTCGTCTCCCTTTGACTAGTGTGTGTGTGTGTGTGGGGGGGGGGAGTGTTTCAACAAACTTGTATGGCCAAGTGACGGCTCTTGGTATGGCTTAACCCTTTCACTGCCAGAGTGTTTGATGGAGTTTTGTAAGGTAACTCTAACTTTTGAGTCTATGAACGAAATCCTGATGATGTGACCATTCAAATGAAAGCTCTCTGTCTGTACTCTCACACGATGCTATTTGTTTCTCAAAATTTTAGAAAATGAAATTCGCAAATTTGGTCGAAATTTGCCTTTGGCCACATTTGGCAGTGAAAGGGTTAAATGGAAATGTGCGTCCTGAATGTTTAGCAGTTGCAAAGATCAAATATGCAAATACCTTCGGTGTCAATTCAAAATACACTACAATGGTTGATGCTCGCTTAAGATTTATATAAGTGGAGTAAATACGACATGTGTTAACTGTGTTAAGGCATCGGTTAATTTGACGGAGTTCGTTCATTCGTTCACTTTAGCACTCTTTAGTAATGAGGTTGTTGTTCGCCAGTTTTGCTCACATCATGACTGTATAGATTATACTGAATAATACACTCTATATTATATTTTGATGAAGCGTTGCAATAACGTTTAAACGAGGCCGGTTTTAAATGTAAAAAGTAGTTAACTAAATCCAGGCAAGAAACTGCAGTATTTGCTTTTTTAATCATTCACTCTTCAGGACGATGGTTACGATGATGCAACCAGCTCGACTTATTGTTGCCTAGAGCTGATTTACGGCATTCATCGCGTTATAGCGTGAGAAACGATGACTGAATTGATTAAAGATAAGATTTAGAAATATTAGCAGCTTTACTTGTTTTCCTTGGCTAGTTTATATTTCTGCACATCTAAACGTCCTAAATGAAAACAAATTTAAAGGTCAACTCACCTCAATACCGGTTTTTGAGTCTGCTCCCTGCGACGCCTGCCGATTCGCGTTGGTGAACTTAACAAAACAACTTTTTTGCGTCTTTCTTTTCGGTTGAGTGAATTCCAAGCATATCAACCGGCTTAAGTATTGAATCTTTCATAATTACAGCCTTAGGAACCCCCGTGAGAATATTTAGAAGTAATGGAATCTAAAAAACAAATATATCTGATGAAACGAGAGACTCAGAAACTCGGAGGGTAGCTGCAAGGATATTTTTGAAGAATAGTTACTTAATTAATACATGATATGCTCCAATGCTTCATGGGCACCTAACGACTGTTTTCTGAAAAATATCTGTTCGGGGAAGCAAACATTGTCTACTAGAATTTTCTATAGCTTGAGGATGCCTAAAAATTTCTAGATGATCGTTCCACTCATGTACAATTTTCGACGCTTGCCTTATAAATTCCCTACGCTTTTTTGAAGTATAATTTTTAACATTTTACATCCCAGGTTAGGCTATTTTTCGTAAGAAAGAGGAAAGCTAAAATTTTCGGATTCAAATATGCAGAATATGTGATGCAGAGGGGAATCCGAAAAATTCGCACTTTCGTAATGCGTTGAATTGCCTGGAATTGCCTCTAAAATTTTCGGGAATATAATACTGAAGCCCTTGTAATTTTGAAAAGACTCAAGTTCCCCTAGGATGACCGAACAGACACAAATTTGATGGCGCCGCTTAGAATGCTTTTCTAGAGATCTACAAGTATTCTGGGTACACTAAAAAGTGTTTTCAATGCATTTAGAAGTAAACCGTCGTTGGTTGCCGCTGATACTTATGCAAGTTAGTGACCGAAAACAACGAACCACAACATTCCGGGATTTGAAAGTGCTCTTCAGGAATGTTTCCCTCTAGGGACTGGCGTACTCAACGAAGTTTTTAAGGGAGGGCTCCCCATCGAGGTCCAACCTTGCCTTTTTATAAACCATTTTTACAGAAAAGGTACCTCTTTCGTATACCTTCTGCTGACCAATGGTACCCAACATAGCTAGTTTAGAACATTGCATTCCCTTTTAACTGCGGTTTATATTACTACATAAGAAATTTCTGCAATTTGATTAGATTTGAAATACCGACATGTGAAAATTACAAACCTTAAAATAATAGCATGATTCGTACGTGATATTTGGCATAAATACCACTCGTGATATTTCAAAATTGTCTCAATTTCACTCGCCTAACAAATCGTGAACATATGTACAACAATTTTGAAATATCACTAGTGGTATTTATGCTAAATATCACTACAAATCATGCTATTACCTATACAAATGCACTGTCGTTTTAATATGAAGTAGCTATTACATTAGGACGTTTTCTTGTCTCCTTCACAGCCATTAAATGCGTCTGTTAGGCCTTTTGGCTCCTTAAGAAACCGAAATGACATTTTTCTCCACCATTTCATTTACTTCAACTAACGATATCCCTACTCTTTCATGTACCTGAATCCTGAAAAAGGTACCCCGGCCCCTTTATGGCGGAGCCTCCCTGTAAAGGCCACTTCTTAGGGAGTACCCCCCGGGGAATTTTTCCCGGCGAAAGCTGCGGCAGTGGTAGAGGAAACAAAATATTTTATCCATGGTTGAATTCAGTCTATCATTCTCAATGAGCGCCAGAAAGTCCCACAATCAATATAGGGGAGCTTAACAATGGCGTTTTCTGAGCGAGTAGTCGCACGTCACTGACGTCAAAGGACGTGAGGTCTTTTCCCCTTTAATATGCCTTGCCGCTACTAAACTTGTATTATGATTGCTTAGCGTCTTAAATCTTATAGAAATGTTCTGCTCAAAAATTTGGGCAAACCACTCTACCTGACAAAACTAAAAGGGTAATTCAAAATACCACAAAACCTCCGTGGGAGTTGTTTTTCCTCTCTCCAACCTGAATTTTACTGTTTCACTCGCCGCCATGGCTCTGACGCAAGAAGGTCGGCCGCTCGCGGTCTAGCAAAAAGACACTTCCGGTTGACGTTAGTCTCTCAAAATTACGTCTTTGCTTAAGCTCCCTATAATCAACGTAGGCGAAATGACTGAAATACAAGTGTAGATTAAAGCAATCAAAAAAGCCACGTAAGGTAAAATCCGTTAGTCATAAGTAAACACAGACGTCACTTTTGCAAGTTATTAGAGGTGTCAACAACAGTTTATTTCGTTGTTATATGTCAGATCCACACAAAATTACTCGTGTGTGGCTTTCGTTTACACGTGGACGTTAGTGGGTAAATATCGTGCGGATAGAGTAAGCCCAGAAGTTTGTGAGTGGGAAAACGAGTGGATATTGCCCAAATTTGTAAAAACGGGTTTTCTGCGTCTGAACGAGTACGTTATTTATCCATTTAACGAAACTGGATATGTTTTTTAGGAGTGAACGAATGCTGTGGGCTCATTAGGTCTTCGAAGATAATAGTCACATGGTACGAAAACACCGACCGCATTTCTGAGACGCAAAATGATGCAGAAAGAACTTTGAATAGCCTGTTGCAGGCTTTGATATTGTGAGGACGGCGCAAAAAGATATGAACAAGAAAAACTGGGAGGGGTTGAGCTCTGACTTCGCGCCACACCCCACTATCTGAACGCCTGGAACAGGCAATAGGAATAAAGAAAATTAGCATGTTAGCTAATGTAATCCTTTCGATTTTCTTGCCCCATGCACTACGTCATTTGCCTACGAGCAAGGTGTTTTGGTATCATGTGAACATTTTTCTGAAAACGACATTTGCATTTGAAGACTACGAGAACGAGATTTTCTCATTACTAAGTAGCGCGCGCGCGTGTGATTCAACGTTATTTTGGCGGGAAGACGCGATAGCCGTCGTCATTCTACTGCGGGTTTTAGCGAAAATGCTATCAGATATTAGAAGACTTGAAAGTTTTGTCATTTTGCGATCGAGAGAAGGCTTAACCTCTTTCAATAAAAATAACCATGTTAACTTTTCTGGTGAAAAAAAAAAAAATACCGGGGTCTCTATGTTTTTGACGATACGCGAAAAAATACTTTAAGGCAAATCTTCTCTCGTGATCGACTTCGTCCTCGAATCTAAAGGTCTCTAATATAGTAGAGCATCAACCTCGTCCCCAGGGTCTTCTCGCTTTCCAATATGGCGGCTTTACCTTCGCACCATGAGGAGAATGGTACCTAAAGGCCGGCCGTGTTTGGGGAGCTTATGTAGCCACAAGGAAGATGGCAATAAAAACGTCACTAATAAAATCGATTTGCGTTCATTCAAATTTTATGGCGTTTATTTGGCTCCCTCAATTTGTCAAATGGAGGAGAATTTCCTGGAGTAGATTTCTTACTAGACTATATCTTCCTTTAAATAGAGAAAGGAAAATTCGTCTGCGCGTGTTCTAGTCCTCCATAAAACGTTCAACTTCAACGTTGACTTCGCTTTGTTTCTTTTTACCAAGCGAATAAATGGGTACAGTGGACATGTTAGCTGGGTTAACATGGCAATGCGCTAACGTGCCTTCAAGGGGTATGGGCTTCATTGTACTGATAGCGGGAAAAGCCTCGGCAGGCGTGGGACTCATGGCCGTTACCTTCACTATACCTAGTTCCAAGGCTTCATCATTCACCGCTTCTTGAACGTTAATGGTCACGAGGTCCGAGCGCTCGGCTACGTCATCGAAATGCATCGACCTAGACGCCATACAGCGACTAAACAAACCTTTACCTAATATTGAAAACTAAAAGTTATTCAGTTCGCATCCGGGCCTTTTTAGCTTGTATGTTTTTTCCCCAGACAGGTCATGTCATATTTCTCTTTACAGATGTCTAAAAACTGTTTAAAATTTCGTCGCACCGCATTCACGAACACATGTATGCATGATTTATGAAAAGAAAAACAGCAAAATCACATGACCTGGGCGGAGTCCTAATTTCTTTATCCTTTTTCAACTGATACAGTGCATGAACGCAGAGAGGGATTCTACCCACTGTCTTCATCTGCGGACACACATGAGTGAGCCCTAACTATCACCCCAAGATGTTGTCTTTGTAGTAAAGACGAGACTTTCTTCCACGAATCCGTCAATTGTATTTTCGGGGCATTCATTATTGTCCTGTCTTTAAACTGAGGGATCCGTGTGGCGGAAATTGATTATTGCGGCCACCTCATTGAGTGACAACTTCTTCTAAGCGAGAATTATACTCATTTTGTGAAGTTGGTTCGGTCAGAAACTCCGCGGCTTGAGCTTCCAAACATGCGCGATATCCTTCTCTGTGATAGGCAGTGAACATCGCAGGAGTGTAAAACTGATTACAGGTGGAATGCTGAGGAAACGCCCCGCAAATGCTTTCAGAAAATCCCTGACAAGCGTTACCATGACAACATTGACAGCAACAAAATGTCAGTCGGTCAACTTCATCCGCGGTAAGCTCAGGTCCAGATCCCCAGTTGTTTGCTTCAAGATCCTCGCCAACATCGCTGAGAGCATCCTTCCAGGACATTGGTTGTTCCATCTTGATGCCCTTGTTGGGATGTCTCGGGGCAATGAAAAGCACTTCCGCTTCACCAACTTTGTGATCTTTGTCTTCATCCGGGTTTTTGTCGAAGTAATGGACTTTAAACCTGAAAGAGCAATGAGACAAAGCAGGTTTTTTCCGACTTTTGATTTTTTAAGACATTGCTGCAATGGGTATAAAGATGTGAAGTATATGAAGTAATTCATTTTTGAACTGCGGTAGTAGCTAGATGAAAGTGAAGAATGATCATCGCAGTAAATTTTCCAATTTAAGCAATTGGAAAGAAGAAGCCTGAAAAAAAAAATCAGGACTTCAGCGGGATTCGAAACCGTGACCTCCGCGTGGCCGGTGCGTTGCTCTACCAACTGAGCTATGAAGCCACACATTGGGAGCGAGGTCAATTTATTGTGGTCTTTCTGCAGGTACCGGAAAGCTTTGTATTTTTGGTCTCTTGGGATTAGTCTTTATTTGGAGTTGTTTTGTTTCCTGTCTTTTATTACTTTTGTATTACGTAATCTGTGCTCCGGTACTCACAGAAGGAACCATTTATTGAGTTCATATCTCCCGTGAGGAGTGAAATGATGTGAAGTATATGAAGTAATTCATTTTTGAACTGTGGTAGTAGATGAAAGTGAAGAATGATCATCGCGGTAAATTTTCCAGTTTAAGCAATTGGAAAGAAGAAGCCTGAAAAAAATCAGTTCAAAAATTAATTACTTCATATACTTCACATCATTTCACTCCTCACGGGAGATATGAACTCAATGAATTGACCTCGCTCCCAATGTGTGGCTTCATAGTTCAGTTGGTAGACCAACGCACCGGCAACGCGGAGGTCACGGGTTCGAATCCCGTTGAAGCCCTGATTTTTTTTTCAGGCTTCTTCTTTCCAATTGCTTAAATTGGAAAATTTACTGCGATGATCATTCTTCACTTTCAATGGGTATAAACGTATAAACGTGCGCTTCACTTGAGATATAGTTAATCCCCATATGAATAATTTAGTTCCAAACATCGAAGTTCTGGATTTCACACATATATCACTCCAACGGTTAAGTACGCGGCAAAAAAAATGCACTTTATTTGAGCGTTAATGTAGCATGAAAGTACAAATTGAAGACACTATTTTTAACGTCTTCTACTGGAGACGGGATTGCCATTTAACATGGTCATCCCGGAGCCACCCTAAGGCCACTGTGGCGGCTTGCAGGGCAAAGGCAGTACCTTAATTTTTTAGTTACTTCAAGAACCCGGGTATTGATGCGGCCCAGGGAATCGAACCCGTGACGTACCTCCCCTCTGCAGTCAAGCATTCTACCAACTGAGCTAATCCTGCTGTGGCAAGGGTTATCTTGTGAAAAAAGGTAATTTTTTTCAAACAGGTTTTTCTGTTCACTAACCTGTAACTTCTCGGTTGATTTCCTGAGGATTTTTCTACCAGTTTATTTCGAATGTCTTCAGTGATATCACGACCATCAAGACCTGTAAACGAGCATCTCAACTTCTTTCTTGCCATTTCGAGGGCTTTTAACAGGGTGTTACAGAATGCTTGTTCCGAAGACGCTCGCCCTCCGTACACTGTTATGATCTTTTTCAGCCGCAGCTTCAGAAGAGGGAGGATACCGAGATTTTCAACATGTCCACCGTCGCTGAGCCGTAGAACTGGAGGTGGATTCGGCCCGTGATTAAGTATTCCAATTGTTTTACGAACAAAGCTAATATATGGCATGTGGACCGCAAAGTATCTATGAACAAAATTGATTAAAAAACCTCTAAGTTTCTTATCAATACTTGGTAATCAAAAATTAATATAAACAACACTTGCGAGCCCTCAGTCTCTTGGTTTGCGGTATATAGAATGTGTAACGAAACTGTAACGCGATCAAAATAATCCATAATTCAGGGGTTTAGATGTTCTAACGACAAACACATCTCCTCTGGACGCTGTGGATGTGGTAGCGGTAGTGATCATGGTAGTTGTAGTGGTAGTGATAGCGGAAAATAGGTAGTGATGTTGTTATTGATCATAATGGTCGTATTGGTACTGGTAGTGGTAGCGGTAGTGATAATGGTAGTTGTAATGGTAGTGGTAGTGATAGTGGTTGCGGTAGTGATATTTGTAGTGGTAGAGGTAGTGGCAGTGTAGTGTCAGCAGCAGCAGAAGCAGCGGTAGTAACCATAGTTATACCTGGCGATCTTCTCCAGTTTGCCTGGATTGGCACTTCCTGTGGGAACGAGGGCCACAATAGTAAACAGCAGTAGAAGTAAGAAGAACAAAAGCACGCCGATGTCGAAGTACACTTCCTTCCCAGTTAGGTGATAAGAAGTGTATCCAAACAAAAAAGGAGACACTCGGAAAATCTCTATGAAGAAAGGAAGAATCTACCGAAAAAGAAACAGAAGATAAAGTTGTCAGCTTCTTGTTCAAAATATGACAAACTGCCAATCGATATCAAGCCCTAGGAAGCTAAGAAAAGGCGGGCAAAATCAAATATCTTAGCTTATTTAAGTACTTGAATTATCCGACTTATTTATTTCACGGTACAAGCCAAACTTATTTTTACACCTCGGAGAAGCATTCGATTAAAGTGAAATATGACATTCAAAATGGACCAGAGCGGAGTGTTTCATCTGAAGTTTCAAACACGAGGCGCAGCCGAATGTCTTAAAACCTGACATCAGTCCACCGAACTGCCAAGTTATTGAACAGGTAATATACACTTAACAATCAAAATTCCGCCGACTTCTTAGCCCTTTTACTGCCAGAGTGTTTGAGGGGGTTTTGTAAGGTGACTCTAACTCTTGAGTCTATGGACGAAATCCTATGATGTGACCATTCAAATGAAAGCTCTCTACCTGTACTTTCACATGATGCCATTTGTTTCTCAAAATTTTAGTAAATGAAATTTGGAACTTTGGTCGAAATTTGCCTTTGGCCACATTTCGTAGTGAAAGGATTAGTGAATTTGGAAATCTTGTTAGTTAGTGAGTAGTATATTCAGCGTTAAAGTACCTGAAGAAACTTGCTTTCTTTCCGTTCTTGTCTTGGATTCCCAATAAGTGAGGTACCCATGGCTATCCCCAACGTGACTTTCAAGTCTTTAAATAACTCTTCACCTCCTTCAAGGGCACCCATATGATGATCCACAGCTGCAGCTGAGGTTGCCATGGCATCAGAGAGATAAATATCTTCCGGCATCAGTTTACCTTCGAACTCTTGCTGGTCAGATGGACGGTCCAGCCTCTCAATTCCATGCGGTGACATCGACAGCACTTCATAGTCAGGTTCCCTTGGGGAGGTAGTGCGACGCCATCTATTGATAACTGAGTTGCTGATAAGAATCGGTTTGACATTATCAAGGTCTTTTAAAGTCAGAGGTCTGTCAGGATCAGTGTTCAAAGGTTCCGTGTCTTTGAAGGAGGGACAAGTGAGAAAACAATCGCGATAGGAAATACCAGCACAACCACACCTGCCAACACTTGTAGGGGAAAACAAAGCTTTCTGGAGCCTCCATCTGAAAAAATATTGAAAGAAAATATAATAAACCCCGCGGGCTTGCTCCCCATACCTGCCTATAGGCGAATCTTTCTTTACATTTTTTGCCTTATTAACAAACCAAACGGGCTGAATATTGAAAGAGCTTAGCAATTTCAGTTATCTCTGAAAAATTGAGCTTCGAAGAAATTTTCTTTTAAAAACTCGAAATTTAACAAATTATGTATGGCTCATTAACTTTTTTACCACCCAGCAATTTCGCAGTTTTTGATGGCTGATATTTCCTTCAGTATTGCTTAGAAAGAGCTGAAAATTGCGCAAATTGTTCAAGGTAATGTGCTCCTTCAACTTTTGAATTTAGTTGGTATAAACCACCACGGCTTCTATGAGTTAAGTCGTATGCTAATGACGAAAAATGTAAACAATGACGCCAGCAAGGATTCTTCTATACGGAGAGGCTCCGTCCCAATGAGGTACCTTTGTATCGGAATGGGTGGGGAAGTCTGTCATTGCAGTCTAAGAAAGGACCTAAAAGGGCTAACAGGCGCATTTTTTGGCTCTGAGAATGGCAACAAAGCTTTCTGGTTTAGTTTTATTTTTCATATTTAGACGTTGCACTTGCAAGAGCTAAAAGGGATGCAGCGTTCCAAACTGGTTTCTGAAAGAGGTACCCTTTGTCAATAGAAGCTATACGAAAGAGCTACCTTTTCTGGCAAAGATGGTATATAATAGGGCCCAAAAAAGAGGTTGGATCTCGGGGCGAAGCCTCCCCGTGTAAATTTTTTGTTGAATAACCATAATGAAACAGCTAGGTTATCGTAAGGATTTGAATCTGGTGAAACGTCTGTCACGTCCTGAGGTTAATCAATACATTTAATTTAATTTTATTCTATTTTGACTCGTGAAAGGAAGTTGAAGTTGAAGTTAATTTCAGAGTAGTCTGAAAAGACTCTGAAAGCCTAATATCTTGGAGAGAAAAAAAAGAAATCTATTTACATGCCTAAAATAAATCTATTTACATACATGAAAAATGTTAGATATATTGTTATGTCTGAAAGGAGATTGCTTTCAGGAGTCTTCTAAAACTAAATAAAGTAGGCTCAGATCTTAAATTATTAGGTAGGGAGTTCCATTTCTTAGTAGCCTGCGAACAGCAGACGCATTTCCGGTAGCGACGACCGGAAATGCGTCTGCTGTTCGCAGGCTATTTCTTAGACGCAAAGTAACGAAAAGAGTTGTGGCCATAAGTAGTAGTAGCCAGTTTACATAGTGATAAAATATTAGTTCTTCTAGAAGAGTACGTATACAGACTGACGCAAAGTCTGAGCATGTCTTTAGGATATTCAGGAAAACTTTCATAGTTCAAACATTTGTAGATAGTTGCCTTTTCTTCAGCTGTTTCTTAGTGACAGGCTTTGAAAAAACACCTGATCACCATTGTAAGGGAGCAGTAAAGGGAGAAAACACTATTCCAAGGCTATCGCCAGGGACACCCAACGACTGTTTTCCGTAAAATATCTGTTCGGAGAAGCAAATATTGGCTAGAATTTTCTATAATTGCTTGAGGACGGCTACAAATTTCTAGATGACCGTTCCATTCATGTACAATTTTTGAAACTTATCTAATAAATTCCCTACGATTTTCTGAAGCTTAATTTTTCACATTTCACTCTCCAAGTAATGCTGTTTTCCGTAGAAAAAGAAAACCTTAAATTTTCGGATTCAAAAATGTGACTGAGATGGAAATCAGAAAAATTCTCACATTCTTAAAGCGATAAAATGCATCTAAAATTTTCGGGAAGTAAAACTCAAGCCCTCGAAATTTCGAAAAGACTCAAAGTCTCCTAGGATGACCGAACAGATACCAATTTTATAGCGCCGCTTAGAATGTATTTCTAGGGATCTAAAACTACTCTGGATAACGTAAAAAGTGTTTTGAACGTATTTAGGAAGAAATCGTCGTTGGTTGCCCCTGTATTGACCACCCAGCAGTAGTGGCGAAAAGGTGTATTGATGCGAATCCTTGCATTTTATTCATTCACGTTTATGTGAAAAGTAAATGGACTAGAACAGAGCTGAACCTACCTATTGTAAATGTGACCAAGACGTTGTTGTATGGTACCAATCAAAGGAGAAACAAACAGTATGAGGCCAGAAAGCCACATCAATTGTGTAAACAACGTATGTGTGTAATGTGGAAAGGTGGTGTCCTTGTAAACTCGCCACATGACAACATATGAATAGAAATAGACAATCACTACAAGGGTAGCGTTTGTCCTCATAACCGGGAAAGCAAACCAGAGCAAGATTGTGGGAACAACTATTAGAAATTTCATCCATGTTGGAATGAACTCCAACACATCGTGAAAAAACCAAGGAAGAAACAACAAGCCAAAAATAACTCCGCAAGACGTGGCCATGAAAGCTAAGGCACATTTGATTTTAGGGAAAAATGGCCCAAGGAAATGAGCGAGAAATACAACAAAGAGTGGAACGCTAAAGAGAAGAAATCTCTCAATAGCCTTCTTCTCTCGTCGATGCTGACAATCTTGGACTGTTTCGTGTAACTTCAAGGTCGTGTTGTCACATTTTGTGATGATTCCACCGCGTAGGACGCTGCCTGCACACAGATCTATGACGTAAGCAAATGGACATGCGTAAGCCGCCCACAGGAACAACGGCAGCACAAGCGCAACAAATAGAGGTAATAAGAACAGAACCATAGAGTCAAGAAAACCGTGAAAAGGCCTCTGCCAGTCGCAAAATATTCCACTTCTTCTGCGGAGATGATCAAAGAATTTGAAATGCCATTCCTTGTTGTCTTCCTTTCCAAGACGGAACTTCCAGTCCATGTAGGCACAGCCTGTGTAACCACCCCCTGACACACAGCTCAGGTAATCCAGATTGGCGTTTTTTTGAAGCAGTCTGCGCAGGACACCAGAGCAGAAGGCCGCTGACCTCACACCGCCGCCTGAGAAGGCTACGCCAACTTGAGCCATCAGAAGATTAGCAAATGGTCACTAAGCTGTTGAAAATAAGAGTTATATAATAAGAGCAATACATTTACTACGGGACGGACCATTAGAAAACTTATGGGGGGGGCAAAGTACAAAAAAAATATTCACGCAAGGGAAAATTAAATGAAAAAAAATTAATGCACGCCAATCAATTCTAAAAAATATTTATGCTATACAAGGAATTTGATAACGAAACAGAATTCCCGCGGCTCGAGAATTCCCCGCCTCCCACCCATAACTTTTCATGGTCCGTCCCTAATCTCACTGAAAACGGCGTACACGTAAACTACCGTTGCTTTTATTTTGATATAACGCTTTCTCGACTACTTTTAGGTACCCCCTTATCCAAAGCGTCAGCGGGCAGTATTACTCAGTAAAATATTCAGAGATAGATAGAGGAGAATATTTGAGATTGATTCTCAGTGGCGTAACGCGCAAATGACGTCAGAGTGACTATTTTGAAATTTTTGTCTGAGTTTTTTCATTTTTCTCATTTTAGTGACAAAAGACCGACAAACATGACATTTAAATGACAAAAAGACAGACAAACATGACATTTTAATGACAAAAGTCAGCCAAAGTGAGGAATTCGCCAATGTTAATGTCAGTTTGTTTTTCTGAGTTTCGGATCTATAAATAGTAACTGCGCGCAGCGCTATCGCAATGACAAAGACGTTGGTACATAATTAGAATTCTTTCTCTCTTTGAGGGGGAGGGGTGGTAGGGTGCGGACAGTGGTATAACAGGGAAAATGGGGACACAAGGCAATTTTTGATGGGAACACAGGCAACAAGAACCAGGCTAGGGGGGCAGACTAGGGTACATCAAATATATTTTCAAATTTATAACAGCATAGCAATGAAACAGAAACCAGATGTTCTGCACTTCAGATCAACAAAGTGTGCCGAAAGTGGCAATGTCGCCACTTCACGGCTTGCTCTCTCGTTATGGAAGAAAACTCAAGAAAAACCTCTGGGACCAGGGTACCAGCTCGCATGAACCGTTAAACAAATCACTGCTTCTAATACACGCAACTGGGGGGTGGGGCACTCCCCTATTTCGCCCAAACGGCCATGTACAACTGAACAGGGTAGGGTTTTATGGTTGTTAAGTCTTAAACGGGGTATGCATCGTCTTTAGTTAAACTGAGAGGGTGTCTTTTTGGACTGGAGCCCTTTGAAAAAGTGTGAAGGTTGGCGGTGACTCTCTTGTCTACTTTTGTGGTACTAACAATTTTTTTTCCAAAACAAGAGCTGATTTCATGATGTTAGTGTGGGAAACGAAATGAATCAAGGTCATTAGATAAGGCCTCTTGTCAGGGAGGCAAAATGAACGATGGTTGTTCTAAAGGGGCTGTGTCACGGCAGTCCAGTTCATTTTGTTTTATTTTGCCAATTACTCGCCCTAAATCGCTATGGAACTTAAAGTAGGCAAAGAAATTACATGTAAAAATGACAAAATCAGAGATTAGAGACAAACAAATGTGTCCCCTAAGCATTTTTTTTTTTGAAGCTGCAAACAGCAGAGAAAACACTTTGAAAAACTGTTAGGCTGAACAGTTTTCGAAAACCTTAATTTCAGTTCGTTTCAGTCTTCTTGAACAGTTTTGCCCATCCGTGGCAGCTGTTATATCTGTTGTGTTATTTAACCTTTCTTCAATGTTTTACGGGGTTATTTTTGTTTCTTTTAATTTAACAGGCATTTTGCAATAACCTGATTTGGCTGAATTTCGTGACACAGCTCCTTTAAGTCTTAAACAGGGTCGTGGCCCGAGAGGAGGGGTACTCCCTTATATAAGCAATATAGGTATGTAGCGCCCCAAAGGTAGCTAGGGTTTTTCCGCCGTTTCGGTCTGAAAACGGGTACACATTTTGCCCATATTGGTCTGGAATCGGGTATAGTTCTCGAGGGAACTAAGGGAGTGTATGAAGGTATTTGTCGTTCCAATTCTAAATGAACAGGAAAGAAAGAGTGATATACGAATTCAAAGTGGGTTTTATTTGGCGTTCTAATGTAACGCCTAATTTAAGTAATGATGACATAATTTCTTAGAGACCAGGTCTGAAAACGGATATGGAAAATTACAGTTTTTTGGTCTGAAATAGGGTCAGGAGTTTTGAGAACCGGGTGGCACACCCCCACCAAGATTTCCCAGCAGTACCCCCCGGGGGTCAAGGTTTGATGGCCTCGGCGGCGCACCTTTACCCTGACTTTCCATGACTGCTACCCCTGGACCGTACTGTATTGATTCACGGCTGGAAGAAAGAAACGAAAATATTGCATTGATAGTGACAGACCCTGATAAGAGGAACACCGTGGAAAAAGGATTTAGATGTCTTGGATTCAAAAAACAGCGGCTTCTACTTACAGGTGCTTCATGTGTTACGGAATTATTATGGCATCGCTTAACAACGATCGTCAAACACTTCAGGGGCGCCCAACGACAATTTTCGAAAAATATCTGTTCGAAAGACGATTTGCGATCTACAATTTTCGGAACATTTGTTGTAAAATTTCTTGCTTGCCTGCCTCTCCTAGGATTTTCGAACATCTAAAAAATGGTATAATTGCCCATTTTTAACGGATTTTTACCCTTAAAAGGTCACCCTGAATTTTCGGGAGCCTTTTTTCTGGCTGAAATTTTCGGAAAGGTAAGTTTTGAATCCTATAATTTTCGGATCACTAGACTTTCAGCTAGGAAATCCGAACAGATGGAAAATTTCTAAGGGATAAAAATACGCCTATATCTACGGTTTAAATACTAAAATACGTTTAACAATGCGATGTTTAAGTGGTTTTGAACTATATCCTTGTTGGGTGCCCCCGACACTTAAACTTATAATAAATCTTACTCATACTACGGCTTGGATTTTTTACTTATATCGTTTATCATCATCCATCACTCTTTTAAGCGCCTCGTTAACGTAATTCTTTCTCATCAATTTCTGTTCATTTCGACGTTCTATTAAAAAAGGAAATCATAGAATAATTCGTGCTGTAGTAGTGGCATTGCCCTTCCATCGTGTTCGATGTGACTTTGTTGACCTTTATTTTTTTTATTGATATAATTGTTAAGTAACGCCTAAAAAACTATAATACAGTTACTGCATTTGAACTTACCTTTTTAGTCCGTGCTGTTCTGTTATTTCTGATCCACAAGGTCGGCAGAGTCAGTAATAACTCTATACAGCTCCAACACGCCGGCTTAACTGAACACCTTGCAAGACAAATTGTTTAAGTGATATTAAGTGACCTGCTGACAGATACTGATCACAATTCCTTCCCTACACAACACAAAAAACAAATATCCTGACATAATATGTTACGATCGTGTCCGATCGTGGGTTATGGGAGAATGACTCAACGATCAAATTCGCAAAAGATACAACAATATTGATTTTGAGGGTAAATGTTATATAATTTCTATAATTTAGAAATTTCTAACTCTGAAGGAATTTATCTCCCAAAAGATTCGTGCAGTCCAAGTTTCGGGCTTTTTTATCAGGCTTTAAAGCATTCTTTGAGTACTATAAATATTTTAGAAAGTTACCTCCTGCAGATACGGTATACAAGAAGTTTATGATTATCGCGAATCAAGCGTTCTTTTATTGTGTTGCATTGCATTGCAATATGTAATTGTAGGATAACTGATCGCTCGTTGATTGGTCGAGAGGTAAGGTGTATGAAGACATAGACCATGACAAGAACGTGACGATGGCGCAGTATATTTTTAACTGTCTCTCGGAAGCTATTTTCCAAGAAATAGACTATAAAAATTGGCGATGTTTTTTTCATTTATCTTTTTACCGTCAACAATTTGCCGTGGTCTAAATTCCGACGTCACAATCTTTCGTGATTCTGTATTTTGACGTCTTTTCCGTGGTATTAGTTTTTACAATAACAGAGAAATATCGATAAATCGAGAATGGTTTGTGAGAGAATCAAGACCATGAAATGACGTGGGGATGGCACGGTTTTAAAAAAGGCAACAATTTTCCGTTGTCCACACCGACGGTAAGAAGAAAAGACGTCAAAATGTTAAGAACTCAAGTGGAACCACGAGCCGCAAGTAAGTGTGGCTTCACGCAAGTGTGGCACAGATTTAAACATTTTCATTGACTTAGTATCTACAGTTGGCAAGAATGTAGATTCTCGACCAATCAACGCGCGAGAAATCGCTCAGTTACTGGAGAAACTCTTATAGGACCTTATAGACCCCCAGAAATGATGTCAAAATGTTCAAAACTCAAGTGCAGTACAAACCGCAGGCGAGTGTCATCAAAGTGTACCAGTCTGGAACATTTCAGTTGACGTCGGTAAATTCTCAGGGTCTATATCAGAATTGGTCTAAATTCCCAAGATTCCTGCCAAAATTATTGAGCGGAGTTCTTATTGATTTCCAGTCCCCCGATTTTATTGACTGACAGTTTATATTTAGATTTCAGTTGTTTTATTCACGGAAATTTTTTAGGTTTAGCCTGAGTTGCGGTAAGCCATTGGACACGAAAGATTACTCTTTAGGTTCGATAATTTCTTCAATATCTTTGTTTTATGATTTGACAATTTTTATGCTTTCGTGATTCTAGTTTACCCTGGATTTCGTAACAAGTTGTCAATGCAATCTTGCGGAATAATTGTTTTATTAAAAGAAATCATAAAGATCGACAGGCGTCCTAAGCCCACTCATTACGAGTGTGGAATGTAGATTTACTGTCTCTCAGGAGAGTCGGTGTCACGTTACAGGCGACCGTTGAGACGTTGTATGAGAAATAGAATACTAAGGTCTATAAAATAATAAGTTGGAGCTTTTGAATTCCACCATTTATAAGTAAATAAGTAAGTTAGCCATTCTAATCAGGAAACGATTAGCATTATTTTCACGCATCCCTCCCCCAATCCCTCTACCCACCCATCCCCCCCAAAAAATATAGCGTGACAGTATAACGTAACTAATTTGACGTAACCGGAAATTCCAGAAAATA